TTTAATTCCTTTATATACTTGTCTTTTCTAGGTTTGTGACTGGCTGTATCCTCTAATGTGTAACCAGTCTCCCGTTCTGTGCTGCAATACTGGAGTCTACATGTTCCCTGACACAATGTCCCAAATACCAGGGTCCTATGTGGGAGTAGTGCTGTCCTCAGAACTTCCAGCAGCTGACAGAGACCTGTTTGAGGATCTCTTAAAACAGATGTCTGACCTTCGAATCCAGGTAAATTTCTGGGCTGCCTGTTTTAAGCTAATAAGGTAAGGTCTAAATCATCAATATACACTTACTATATTCTCACACTTACAGTTAGTTATCTAAAGCTGCAAATCTTTGTGTCTTGCTTGGGAAGCTGACCAGTGAGAAATAGGTAAAGTGGTCAAGATCAAGCAGCTTTGTAATGAAACTTTAGGCCCTGAGAGATGTGAGGACAGAAATTTTAAAATACTGAGTTGTAAGCACAGAGTAGAGTTGGAGATCATTTTGTGTGTTCTCTATTTTTCCAAAAGAGAACACAGGACCCAAAATGAAATCTTGTGTTCAGGAGAATGCATGTTTTTCCCTTTGTGTTCACACACACATGCACACACTGTCTCTGTGGTTTTGATGCTACTATTCTTGGAATATTGTGCCCTTAAGCCACCTTAGGGAAGATGTGTGAAAATAGTGTGTACCTCAAAAATCTGCCTTCAAAATGGATCTCAAAATAGATAAATCTGGTCCTTTTGCAGTATGATATTGACAGGTAGAACAAAAAATCCCCCATAGTCTAACAAAGGTACAGTATGCTACAGTGACTGGAAACAAGGTGGAAAATGTTACTGTGAGAGCACTGGAGCACCATTTCAGGAAGAGTGGTAATCAGTAACAATGTAAAAGCTCATAGCAAGATTGTCTTTTCATGAAAGACAGCATTTAATGGAATCACCAAGATTCGAATGCAGTGATGATGAAGGGCCCATTTGGAGCATGTCATGAGGGTGGAATTCTGTTACAGTATAAATCCTGGTGAGTTCAGCA